AAAAAAAAAAATAATAAAAGACAATTTTTTTTTTATTTGAACATTTAATTTTTATTATTTATTGCAATTGTTTTATCTGAATGCTTCTCTTTATTAATTAATGAAGGGTTCTCAAGTTAAGTTCCTGTTGCTGCTTAGACAAAAGTGCTTTGTCAAATGAAAAAAAACATTTACGTCTATCTTTTTAAAAATTTAATGTATATATATTTTAGTAATTAAATTATTTGTATATATATATATGTATATATATATATATATATAAACAGACGTATGTATATACACATATGTACATATATATATCTATATATATATATATATATCATATAATATACGCTTACATATATACTTAAATACGTACATATCTATTATTAAATAACAAATTCAGAGATGTTGAAAATTAGTTTTGTGTTTTATGTTTATTATTATTATTATTTTTTTTTGTTTTTCTTTTTTGGATTGGATGTATTTTCATAGTAAGGTTTATTGTGTAATGAAATCTTTTTACAAATATTTTATGGTGAACTATGTATTCTAATATTGAAATAAATACTACGTATATTATAAACCACCTTTTTATTATAGATTTTAGTTCCGATCTATTAACATAATAAATTAATCTACAATATTTAAAGGGGATTTTCTTTTTTTTTACCATCCACCATCGTCAGATAAGAAAGTATATTATTTTTTCCCATTCGGTTTGTAAAAGTTGAATGTACTTATTAGAGGCAGGGGGGAGGGGGCGTAAGTATCATCTTCGGTTGTTTTTAAAGTTCTTGGATCCGCAAACAAGATAGAAAGAGAGAAGGAAGCAAAGTTACATGGACGAAGTTTTGACAGTTTAGTGGAACGGGCCAGGGGAGGGTTCGAGGGAAGTACGTCCATTAAAAGTACATGAGCTTTAAATTTTTCAGCATCACTACCTTAGCGCGTCTCCAAATATATTTTTATAAATAAAACTTAACTTGGAAAACCAAGAACTTATTCAATTCTAAGGCCAAGTAATTCTTTCTTTTTAATTAAATTCAGTTATAAGATTACTTTTTCGCTTATATTGAAATTCCAAAATACTTGTAAAACATAACCTCCAATTTTTTAAATTATAACCTCAAATTTTTTATTATTATGAATGTCAAGGATTTCAAAACAATAATTAAGTTAAGAATTCTACCAGATAAGTTAAGTCTGGAATTCGTACATAAACTGTACTACCCACATCTTCTCTTTATATCCATTTACAATAGGAAATATTCACGCTACATGTTGCAAAGTATTGTGGAGCCGTGCGTGTCATTTGAATGATTTGAATTTTCGCCTATAATTGACACGACTGTAACTTTTGCCAAGTATATTTTCAGCAGTGGCTTGGGCTAGGTTTTGATCAATTTGGACGTTGATTATACAATGCAATAATTGTTTCGATCGGGGGTATTCAATACTGCCTCAATGTAATGTGAACCTGTTTAAGATGGTGGATATATAAAATTCGCCCTTAAGGCGAACAACATTTTTCTTCAATTCTATCCTAAACTAGACTTAATTCAATGAAATTTTTCTTAGAGGAAGTCATTTTAATTGTAATAAATAATCATTTTTAACGAAATTAAATGAAAATGCATTTAAAGCGAATTTTCGTTACGTACAAAGTGTATTGGAAACGTTTTGGAAACACAGGTTAACACAGTCGTGCAACGCGACTCCATTTTAATGAATTTTTTTTTTTTTTGAAATCAAATTTGTTGCCGCATAAGAAACGTTACATGAAAATTACTATGATAAATATTAGGGCAAAAAAAAAGAAAAAAAAAAACAAATAATTTTTTCATAATAATGTCAAAAATGTTTTACGATTAATTTTTATTGACCAAAAGTCGATCGAAATTGTAATTATTGGTTGTTGTCACTATAAATATTGACTTCAGCTTTGCGGATAAAACGCATTGATTGGTTTTAAACCAATCCATTTATCCTATTATTCCACAGTTCGAACAAAAGACGGACATGAATCTTTTCTAAAATTTCATAAATTATAGATTTGCTCCGGTTTGCTTCATCGTCATGATGCTGCTAGAATTGCTTCATTCCTTTAACAACAATTCTAGCGGGAAATTCTGCATTTCATCATCGTTTTTAAAGATTTTAGCTTTTTCTTTTTTTTGAAGAGATCAACTTATCAACTTATGCTCTATTTTTTCCTTTCTCTTTTGGCAAAATTAATGATTGATTTAAGTGAGATATATATATATATATATATATATGTATTGATTTAATTAACTTGTTTCGCATCTTAATTTTTATGTTTTTATAATAAGTCCTAATACAAAAATCAGTTTTATAGTATCACAAATTGGGCATGATTTCACAAATATGACTTTTGTTTAATTTGCTAAGGAAAAGGTCGAGACGGTCTGCTTTGCTTGTAAAATCAAAGTGTTTTAAGTGTCTAAATAATGAATTTGCCTTATTGCTCTATCGCAACATATTTGATGATCTCAATTCTAGGGCATAATTTCTTCTGCGAGAATTTCGTTTAGCAATCGATTGAGACTGTCCAATCCGGTAAGGAAACCACTGTCGGGTCCATGATGTACTGTGATTTGATTTGGAAATAAACCGCTACCATTGCGTGGCACAAAAGCCGTATGAGCGAAATCGATTAGACGTACATCTACTAAACATTCCCCCTCATCATGTGAGGTTTTGGTATGAGCACCATACGCGCTATTACCCATATCTAAGGATTTGGAAGCGTGTTGTAAAAATTTGCGCTGTTTTATCGATTTCGTAGATGTTTCGTTTTTTTGCCAATCATTTGCCGTTTCGATGACGCAATTGTCCAACAGTCGATCGGTCAGTAAAGAACTCTTGATTTGACTTTCCACTATTTCTGAGGAAAAACATTGCTTGCTAGGTGATGCCATTATGGAAACAGGCGTGGATGATACTGAAAATGAATTAGAAGACTTCTTACACCCAAAAGTTTTCCCAAATGTTTCCTTTTTGCCATCAGGATAATCTAAATTGCTTTCATCATCCTCGTCATCATCATCTTTGCATCGCAAACGTTTAACGGCTCCTTTAATCGACTTCAGAGACGACGCAATTGAAGAGGTGGGCGAAGGAGCGAGGGATGTACGTTTCATACCATTTGTTGGCGCAGGGGCTTCGGGTGGTGTTATCGTCGTCGAATGAAGAGTTTCTGTCACGGAGCTTGTCTCAAATGAATCGTGGTGTGCTTTATAACGTTTTAGCATCACCTCGGTTTGATGACTAATGATGCTACTGTCGTAGTCCGAACTACCCTCATCTGAACTGTTATCGCCAGTCTGACGCCCACTAACGGCCTTAATTTGCTCGGACAAACCGGAAAAGTCATCACTACTATTGCTGCTGTAATTCATCCACGAGTCACCCGAGTGAGGTGACGAAGTCGCTATACTTGGTAGGGGAGGTTCAGGATCTAAAAATACTGTTTCTTCGGAGATTGGAATGAATGATGCAGATTGGCTGGACGCTGAAGTTGCGTTCAGTTTGTTACTTCCTGCCTCTTCTGAACGAGGTGGGAGCATTGTTTGAACATCCTCTTCCTCAGAGGAAGATATGACTAAATTTACAAAATTTTTATCACCTTCTGCAATTTTATTGCATACCGTGGGCTCTTTACTTAGTTTACGGGAGGCAAGACTCATATCGGTAGTAAATAAATAATTGGAAGCATCAGTGTGGTAACATTGTTCGCCACCAGTACTGCTATTGGTTGCTGAAGCATTACCACTGTCGGCGGCAACTATATGCAAATCTTCATCTAAATCATGGGGTTCGAGTTCATCACCGCCTTCATGGCCAGCTTCATCTTGATCATCGGCATCGATATCATCTGCATCGTCATCATCGTCAATACTGTTGCCCTCCGATTTAGAATCAAACGTGGCAGTTGTTTGAGCAGTTATCGATGTCCAATCATCAAAGTCCATGGATTGATCCATGGCACATTCTTCATGCCCTTCATATACTATTAGAAGTGAACTGCAGGAATACATTTCAAATTAGTATTGAAAAAAATATTATTAGAACCCTAAATTATATTTCGCTTACCAGGAATAAAATCTGTAACTGGATTGTTTTTCAATAACTCGTCTCAATTGCAGTAGACGTTGCAGAATTTTCCTGATAACACGTTTACGTAAATGATAACCGCTATAAAAGAAATCGTGTAGTGCTTCTTTAAAGCCTGCCTCAGTCAATTCTCGACCCCAGTATTTGTCGCGCTTTGCATATTGCTCTAAATGGGCCAAATAAGTTTGCATTCCGCATAGCCGCACGCCCAAAGAAGCTGAAGTGCTGGCAGCACACTTGGCCATTTGCTTCGAACGTTTTTCAGCGGAAGCATCATCTCCATGCTGCCGCGTACCCATCTTCAAATCCAAAATGCAGGGACTACGAAACTGTGACGTTATATTTTCTAGCATAAGAAAGTCTAAACGATTTTTGGAAAAACATTAATTCAATCGTTTTGTTATTATTTAAAAAAAAAAAAAAAGAAAAAAAATAAATAAAAAAACCGACTTAAAAATAATTTAGGACGATTTAAAGCTGTCGATAAAGTATGCAAGCATGCAATTGCTGTCGCGGGCGACACATTCAAATTATGAAATCTCAAGTATCTTAGTCGATATCGACAGCTACAAATCGGCCAAAGGTTTCTCTCAACGTACATTGCTTATTGGAGTTATCTAATTGAGAAATACTTTTAATAACATCGGCCGCATTTCCATTCTTATGTACCTTCATTCTGCAAAGCAAAAAGAAAAGATCAGGAAAAGAACTGACTCAATAATGTTTACTATTATTCCATTTTTGTTTTTTTAAAAAAAAAAACACAAAAAATTAGTAAAGAATTTTTGGAAACCCCTTGTTTTTATAGGAGATATTTAAGGAATATTCCATTCTGTTCTGTTCTGTTCTATTCTGTTCGTTTTTATATTCAAGTGGTTAATAAGACATTTAAAAACTCTCTCCATCTAAAATAGAAATAATTGCATAAAATGTTCAAAATGAACGTCGGCCGATAATACCAACCTGAGAATGTCGTCTCTTTTACGTTTCGATGAACTCATTTTACGTTGAGTTTCATCGCGGAAACTAGGCGAATAGCGTTTCTCTAATTTAGCTCCTCCCATTGTCGTTGCTTGCATAACGCCTAAAAATAGATTTACCACATGATTAAAGATTCTGTTAAAAACTATGCAATGCGTTTTCATTTTTATCAGCTTTTTATTTTTTTTTTTAATAGAAGTAAAATTTATTTTAATTACAATGAATCGCTTTCTTGTTAGGACGACTTCACTTAAAAGGGCAAAGGTAATGACTTGAAGTGTTTGTTTTTGTTTTTTTTTTTTTTTTTTACTTCTTTTTTCAATATATAGTGTCATGGAGAAAATAACATAAAAAATGTTAAATGAAATAATGTTATGAGAGGAACGGTAGCATGATAGCATTTAAAAAAAAAAAATTGTATATATATATATATATATATATATTATATATATGCATATATATATTTGAAAAGGAAAAGAAGAAGTTATGCATTTGAAGAATCAATCGAACTAAGCATCAATTTGAGTGAGTAAAGCAAGAAGAGATGTGATAACACAAAACAAAGAGAGAAAACACTGAGATAATAGTTGGAAGTGCCTTACTGAGAGACACAAGCTAACAACTGATAAAAAAAAAAAAATTATAATAATAAATGAATTGATATTTTCCTGATCTCTACACAGACAATTCCTACAAATTTTGTTAACAAATGCTAACGGTTTGGAAAAAATGTATATATCTTCACTTGATAGACTTATTGATAATACATACATACATATAATGCATATAAGTGTAAAATTATTATAAATAGTAAATTATAATAGTTACGAGATATAATATATATATATATACATATATATATATATTTATATATATATATTTATATTTGTGTTTATATATATTTATATATATCTATATATATATATATATATATATATATATACATTTATATATATATGAATATATTTAAAAATTGAAAAAAATTAACATTTTTATACAAACCCGTTCTGGGGTGCGTTAATACAAGGCGCGCACTCACACACATAGAATTTGTCACTTTCTCTCTCGCTCTCTCTCTCTCTCTCTCTCTCTTTCTTTCTCTTTCGCTTTTCTAGCTCTGTAACAACAACAACAATACAGCAAAGTGAAGAGAACAACAATTTATCTTTCATTCATACTGGGTGATGAGAGAGAGCTTGTTTGTGCCCTATGTTACGTGTTATTTACGCATTTACAGTAAGTATAGAGTCCTCTCGCTGAGGTGTGACGTCATTAGTAGACGTGACGTAGACGGTTGCACAGCGCTTGCTTTAGTTTTGGGCTCAGCTCAAAAGATTGTGACGGACGATTGGCGTGCGTTTTCTGTATCATATATATAACACAAAATAAACATAGTTTTGTTTGTATGCATGTTTTTTGTTTGGTATTTTTTTTTTTTTTTTTTTTTTTTTTTGTATTGAGGAAATAAACAAGACAATTACTATCTTTTTTTTTTTACTTGAATTGAGATAATGAGTCTTCTTGCAAGGCTCCAGACACCACCGTCAGCAAAGATCAGATTTTTGTGTTGGGGGGGAATATAATGGGGGCATCCTCCGCTTGAGCACGCACTAACACGGTTCAATTCACACTTTGAGCATTAATTAGCTGAGGTGAATGAATATATAGTGAACAGAAAAAAAAAACATGTAATCTCGTAAAATCGTGAAGTTTTGTTTTTTTTTCCAAATTATCGATAGTAAAATGTCCCATAAATTTATATTTGTGTTTTTATGGCACTTACCCTTTTACTTCATTACAAGTCTTTCAAATTTTTTTTTTCAACACTTTACTACACTGGAAACAAAACTGGTTCTACATATATATATATATATATATTATATATAACCTGCAAAGAGAACGAACAAAAACAATCTCATTTTCGAAATGCTACAAAACGTAGCAGTCTTAAAAAGAAATTGAAATTGTACCATTCCTAGACTTCAGCTAATCTATTTTCGGACTTAGTCAACACTAAAAAACATTTGGGATAATACTTTGCAGAGAAATTTTATAGATTGTATAGCAAGCGAGAAAAATTTCGATAACAAGATGCAATAGTAAGCACTAAGTAAGTAAGTGAGCTGAAATGAATTAGACGGACAAGGACAAGAGAAGAACAAACATGATTCCATATCTACAGTCGACATTTGCAATATTTACTCCGTGGATTTCATAAAAAATTCTTGATTTTATTGCACATGTACGAGGCTTGTTCAAGAAATAAGTGGAAAGCTGAATTCATTCACAGTAACCATTCCGTACGTTTAGCTAAAGCGTCAGACGATTTAAACACAACGAGAACGGCTACAGAAAGTAGGGGAAAGTACTTGTAGATAACCGCGGATGGCGTATGACAAATAACTTGACTGACATGGCCGTTTTCGACATAGAAGGTTAATATCGCATTTTTCTATTCTGGGAAATAGGGCTGGTGATTACAGTACACCCAACTAGAATGAACATAGTGTTTTTTTGTTGGCTTTAATTATTCCCTAAATATTCAAAAATGTATAAAAAGGTGATTGCCGGAGCTACCCAATTTGAAATGGTTCAAAAAGCAGATTTCTTTCCTTAGCATTGTTGTTTTACAGGCAATTTAAACTTAACTGGATTGGATAGTTGGACAAGTATAAAAAGAAACAAATTTAAATATAATTCTACCACGCCTCTAGAAGTGCTTACAGCAATGAAATCAATACTAAATTGCAGGCGTGACAACAATATTCTGATAAAGAGAACAGCTGGGTTGTTGTATATATTCGTTCCCTATGGTGAGCACGCTTCTCACGAAAGCGAATACACTTAAAGCTGTTCTTATGCGGTGAATGGGGACTGCATAAACGCACAAAAAAAACCGCACAAAAACAGATTTCAGTATAGCTATAAAAAATAGTTTTCGAAACACAATCGAAGTTTTTTTTTTATGCGGTGAATATCGACCACGTAAACGTACAAAAAAGATCGCATAAAAACAGGTTTGTGTGTACCTGTAAAAATTAGTTTTCGCAACACAATCGAAAAGTTTTTTTTCATGTGGTGAATAGGGACCGCGTAAACGCATAAAAAAAGCAACACAAGTAAAAAGTTTTTTTTTTTTATGCGGTGAATAGGGAACATGTAAACGCGCAAAAAAAGACCGCACAAAAACAGATTTGAATGTATTCGCTTTCGTCAGAGGTTTGCTTTAGCTTAGAGTGAGATCATAACTATATATTGTTCATTGCCAATTTTTTTTTTGGTTATGTTGAATTTAGAGATGGAATTTGTTAGTTGTTTGCAGTAGTAGCAAAATTTTTCCTTCAAAATTGAAATTTGAAAGTCGAAGCCTGATTTTTCGAACTTATGGCGTCCCTGCAGTTTCAAAATTAAATTTCCTACTAAGCAACGTAATATTTTTTCTCTGTGGTAACAACGTTTTCCGCAAACTTATCCAAAATAATGGGTTTTCAAATGATTTAGCCAAACAAATCTAAACTTGGCCGAAGGCGAAGAATCTCGAAGAATTGCGGTAGAGGCTTTAATAAAGCCGATAGCTTTACACGCTAGTGTTTTAAGACTTTAGCCTTGGAATTTATTTCTCTGGCTAAATTAATAAAAATTATAATAGATCCGAACTTCTATGCTCCGTAAATATTCCACGATCCTTATTAAATTTTAAATAATAATAATAATATCGTTGGTATGGATGCAAAGTTTTCGACTTGTGGCGAAAGGGTAAGGACAAGATAAGCTCTTGTGAGAATTCACATGTTTACGTTTTCTTGTTTGCGCCTTACGACTTGTACTTGTAAATGTGAACGCGGACAGATTAAGAAATCATTTTCATTTTTAAATAAACATATCCAGCGTTTTAATAG